ACAATCAAAATTGTAACCGAAACGTCGGCGAATGTAATTCTCTACCGACATCGCTGTGTTATTAACACTATAACATTCACAACAGCCTACTTAGTTCGTTGTAGACCATTACATGAGCGAAGGTATGTGAATACAGTGACCTTAGTAGATTAACGTATTTCTGGGGCGTCAGACGTCGAAGTATAACCGAAGCTAGCACTTTGGTGACGATCGGGATCAAACTGATTCCGCGGTGGTTTTTGTAATAATTGCGTGATCCTTTCTTGGAAATGGGAACGTTCAGTAAATCGTCCCAAGATGAAGGAATGCGCTGTTGCGTCCAAAGGTGGCGCAGTAAGGTAGTAATACAGCTTACGAGGTTATCACCGCCCATCTTGAAAAGAGTGGGTGGGAGCTCATCCGGTTCTTCTGCCTTTCGTCGCTTCAGAGCCTGAATGCAAGACCGCACTTCTGCTTCTGCTGGAGGATCGCATGACACTGCCCAAGGAGCTTCAGTCGCGAATGAGGCAACCTGGTAAGCAACAGGCCAGCTGAACTGATGGCTGAAATACCCTGCCTAGCGATAAAGTCGTTGATTCCTATTGTGAATAGCTTGTCCCACCTTATCGCAGACTGTTTCACTAACTGCAGTTCGCCGACCTCCCGTGTTGCGTATCAGTCGGAACAGTCTGTGACTATTACCTGATGCAGCTGCTACTTCCATTTCACTAGCAATTGTTGCCCACCAGTTCTCACGGTCCTTTTTGAGGCTCTTCATGAGCCGACGTTGTAGCTGCCACCTAACTCTATTTTCATCCTGGCAGGTCTGGACTGGCCGTTTCTGCTCCATCAAAACTACTGACTCTTGAGATATCCAATGCCTCCGACGGGTTTGAGGCTCAGACCCATAGGCAACATTCGCTGCGGAATGCATTGCTCGTCTAATCTCCTTCCACTGCTCATTTACATCACCATGCTGAGGTGCGCTTAGCTCACGCAGTAGCTCTGATTCATAGCGTACACGAACTGCTGGAACAGATAGTCGATGATGAGCTGTACGAGTTTGTTGAATTCGTCTCCGGCCAATCAGTCGAAGAGTGAACAGTATCAAAACTAATGCGTGGTCAGACTCAACACTGGTGATAAAAAAGGACCTGCAATTTTGCACTGAGCCACGCCAACGGTAACTTACTGCGACGTCGTCGATTTGAGTTAGTGTACCAGTTGAACTGGAGCGCTACGTTGCCGTCCGTCGAGAGCTGTGTCCGAAGTTGGTGCTTGATAGAAAAAGATAGTGGTCTGAGCAGAACTGAAAAAGTCAATCGCCGTTATCTGTTTGTTGGCTGGGCAGAGCACATCTAATGCCTAGGCAAGCTTCTGATGCGCTCAGTTTTCCAACCTGCGCGTTGGAGTCACCTACAAGTACAACTATGTCGGAGCTTCGACTCATTCGAATGAGAGCGATGAGTTCATCGTGGAAGGCGTCCTTTTGGGTATCAGAACTGCAATTGGTCGGAGCAACAAACACCTTTTGATGTTGCTTCTCTTCCGGACACTGATTGAACCCTGGAGAAGCACTGCACATAAACGACTGTTGACAGTGATGCAATCAATGAGAGGACTCCGCCCTATTGCGGAATACAATACCTACCCCATGCTGGCCCACCGAAGGAGCTTCATCGTCGCCTGATATGCGAAGAACGTATTTTGAAGACAAATCTGGTGCGCTCAGGTAGCTTATAGTAGTAAGATCATGGATTCCAGTCTCCGACACGCAGCAAATATCGATTCCTAAGGATTCCATTGTACGCGCCAGACAAGCTTGATGATCAACCTTTTTTTATTACACACCTAGTTGTGATGAACAGCAGACGGGTTACACCCCATAGTCACGAGGACCTGCTGTTCAGTGGTTGAAATCGGCAACCTAAGCCCCAGAACTTGGAGTGACGAACCACATAAGGCCCTGATAGGTTAGGCGTGGTATTGAACCGGACGACAGCAGAGCTGCCTCCGGGTCCTCACGTTGAAGGCCCCCCAGAGTCGGTGATTGACGAGGCTTTAGAATCTGCAATTCGTTTCGTGATACATTACTTACAGTGCTATTTGGCAACGACCATTGGTGAACGACATCCAAGTTGCTTGAGTGACTGTTACAGGTCGGAAGAAGGGGAAAATGGAAAGGGGCTGGGAACTGAAGACAAAAAATTAAACAAAGGTTGGGATATCTGAACAGTAACCCACTTATCACTGCCCACCTCGCTCGATGCAATGGGCAGCGCGGTCATGATTATCCTGCGCGACGACCGATGCAGTATGGAATTATTTGTAATTTGTGTATGCATTGGGGTAATAGGGGCAATAGAGCACAATTGCAGTCTGTGAACGAGCGCTTAGGACTTCGTGGCTCCGAATTTAGCATTTTCATAGTGCACAGTCACACGTAAGATAAACGGCGCTTTCCTTTTTGACACACGTTACTGTGAATCGTTGGAACTCATTGTCATGGGGACCAACTGGTCAGTTATGTGAACCGGCAAACGAAGCCTGGGGGCTTGGAATACCGAACTACATAATATATCAACAGCACAGATGTGAAACGAGCCGGGCATTATCATCAGCAGCAGCAGAAGAAGAAGTTTATTTTCCCAGCAGCGTAGCGAACAATCTAGTATCCACTTATTTGTAATCATGCCATTAGATAACATTATGTTTAAGAAAAAACAAGAACAAAAAAAAGAAAGAGAAATTAGAATCTTAGCGGTTAAGCTCTGGCACCACACTTGTGTGCGTGTTTGTGAAATTGATCGGCGTCAAAAGCTCAAGTGATTGCAAACGTGTTGGGATGGTTGAAGTGGGCCAGGGGAGATTAAATGCTTCCATGAATTACTTCTGGGCACACAAGGGGGGAGGGTATGAATCCAAATACTTGCGGCTCCGACCGTGGATAAGATACGACGCCTCAATATTCTTGATTTTCTACATTGAAACTAGTTCAGTTCAGTTCTTACAACCATTAGCCATGCACTTTCGTGGGGACCTATGCGACCCAGTCTCCTGGTTAGGGTTTCCATGCAAACATCGTTCGCCGTGGCAATATATCTGGTGGCATGCGTAGCACATATCCCAACCAGCGTAATCTATGGAGGTTGACTACCTGTTCCAGTGGCCGACCGCGACTACCTAAAACTCTACGCCTAACGTCAGCATTGCAGGTCCGGTTACTCCACGAGACTCGTGCAATGCGACGTAATAAATCGGTCGGAACGCACTTGCTGCATCCACCGACTGATTTGATTCAATCAGATGCAAACACAACGTGCTCGTGATCGTCTATATTGCTCCTGTCCTCAGAAAAACCGGATGGTGTTCGTGAACGCGATCGGATAAGAGCCTGGTCGTGGGGCCAATGTACCCAGTCCCACAGAACCAAGTGAATGAGTATACATGAGGCTGCAGAATTCGACACTCTGCTCTTCATTCGGGAACAAAATCGGTTTAGATGCGAACAGAGCTGTTGATTGTGCAGTATGAAATGTTCTGTTTACTGCATTCTAGAGCTTTCTTTCAATGATCTCCGCCCTCGGATCTCCCTTGAACGGCAGATGTACATAGACAGACTTATTAACTGCTCTTATTTCCTTTGGCCGTTCGTCGCGTCCTAGCACTGCCTTATGGATAGATCTTTCAGGGTAGACATGCTGTGCAAAAAAATAGACAATTGTCAATGGTGTCCGCAAGGTATATTTTCTTCGCTCCATGAACCAAACAACGAATTTCTTTTTCTCTGAGGAAGGACTATGGTACACTGTCCATTTCACGTTGCTTCCCCTATGCACCGATAACTGGACGGGGCTATCACTGCGGCATCTTATGAATACGTCTAGAAAACTTAGACTGTTGTCTTGGTCTTTTTCCCGCGTAAAGTTTACGTTCGGATGGATATTGTCGAACTCCTCATAAAACCGATTGATGTTCACATTTGCATCTGCCATACATAATACATCGTCAACATATCATCTGTATAGGGAACATTGTTTGATATGAGAGTCAGGTGGATTGTTCTCAAGTTTGGCCACAAAGTGTCAGCGAATAATGGTTATAAAGGTGACCCCATTGCAATCCCACCCTTCTGGAAATAAAATTCATCATTAGATTGAAGCTGGATGGCATGCGTGCATAGGAATACCGATTGTTTCAGTTCATCTAATAGAATGCCCACATCAATGTTGTTCTTTCCAATAAATCCACATGTGATTGATAGTTTCACTAGTTGGCACATTTGTGAACGAAAAGCTAGTATCAAATGACATCATCTGTTTGTCTTCGAGGTTTAGGTCCTTCAAAGCTTTCACAAGATAAAAAGTCTCTACTAGAATGTTTGCAAATTGTGAGCCTTACTGGTTTCAGCACGCTTTCCAACCACTGCACAACGGCGTGACCCGGGGGGTTGCACACATCTAGAATGAAGCTCATGGAGTCATTCTCTTTGCGTACTTTCGAAAGTTCATATAATCTAGGAATTGTTGTACCCGTTGATTGTATGCTCTCGAACGTCAACGCATCGATCATTTCTTTTGGCTTCAGATATCGTAATTTCGTGGAAATCATTTTTTGTATCTGAATCATCCTATACTTTGCAGTCGGAGTCTTTATAAGCTTGGACGGGTCATTCAATATTGTCCTGATCTTATCTATGTAATCAGACCTTCTCATGATCGCAATAGCTGCACCTCTGACTGGTAGGCATTCGGATTCACGNCGACCTCCCCCCCCCCTTGTGCACCCAAAAGAAATTCGTGCAAGCACTTAATCTCCTCTGGCTCACTTCAGCCACCCCTAAACGTATGTAATCAATTGAATTTTTGATACTGACCAATTTCACACGCACACAGGTTTGGAGACAGAGCTGAACCACTAAGAAATTATGCCTTAGTCAACACAAACTATGTTCACCCACGTGCACACATGGATGCATGAAGCAAAACTGAGGGAAATGAAGGACTGTCTTGGAAACCTACCAACATGGATGAAGGTGTGCGACCTGCAGCATCCATGTGCGAAACGGCTTCAACCGACGGATTCATATTCGTACTGATCATCGGGAGAGAGGATGGGGTTAACTTGGGAGATGAATTCCGTGCGGCAGGCAATGTTCCAAGAGGAGGATGAGCATCCGAACTTGATGAAGCGGTGAATCGGCACGGGCTATGCAGAGTTGCANTTGCATTTGTTGTGTATTTTGCATCGACCTGACGCTCAGTGCCATTCGTTTTGGAAAGATTTGAAAGGGGCAGATCGGTGCGGGCAGCGGAAAATGACGATACAGTACTGTAGTCGGGTTCACTGGTTTTGTGCACCGGAGGTTTTGGTTCAGAAGTCACGGGTCGACGAAGCGGGGGTGGAAACTTTGATGAGTGTTGGGACGAGTCGGTCACAGAAACTGAAGTATGATCCGTGAAGGTGAAGTCGTGTGCATTGGTTGATAGTACTTTCATATCCCTTTCTGAACCGGTATCCCTTGCTGCAATGTGGTCGCCCTAAACAGCACAAAATAAGAAGAGAGTCGATGAATTTTTCTATTTTGTTCTCAAAACAGCATGAATTACTATCTAAGTAGTATCCAAACACGATCCATCGGGTACGGCAAAGCTCAGTTCAGTTCCGTTTGTACAACCATTAACCATGCACTATCGTGCGCCGGTTTTGGTTGCTGTCTTTCGGCTTCCCATTTGGATGAGTAGTAGCAGAAAGACAGGAAGGTTGAAAGTAGAACCGAACAGGAAATGGAGAATTTCAGTAGTCTAGGGATGCAAAGAAATTGAGAAGATGCACGAACACCACTGTTTACGACACAGTCACATCACTCAGTGTCTCTAATCATCCGGTACAATCATCTCGAGATCCCCATCCAGGGAGCCTAGGTGAGCTGGTCTGTTGGTTAGGGTTTTCATACCCTCATGTCAGGTCTCACCTTGACCACCCTTGGCTTTCCTCCACCCACTACCGGCCTCGGCAAACATTGCTCGCAAGGGCAGTGGTGTTCAAACACCGACAATCTTTCTTTGTCCTGCCTCCTTAATGGCCAAGTTTCTGCGCCGTATAACAGAACTGATCGAGCTGCTGCAGCATACACTCGACCCTTCACAAAAAGCCGGATTTCACGACAGCGTCATAGATGTCTCAAGTTGGAAAATGCCAACCGAGCCTTCTGTATGCGAACTGACATTTCATCCGTGATGGGTCCACTGCGTGAGATGTAGCTGCCCAAATAACAAAACTTATCCACTTGCTCTATTATCTCCCCAGTCAGAGTGAGGCTGGGCGCAGAACCAGCCCGATCTTGAAGTAACATTTTACATTTTGAAGGTGCAAAACGCATACCAAACATGGCAACACTGGCATTCAAGCTGTCCAAAAATCTTTAAACTTACCTGGATCTTCACTTAGCAGCACCTAACCTGGTAACCATCAAGGCGTATGATGGTAATATCAGTGCACCCATATACGTATATATATATGTTTTGGCTTTGGAAATTCGCAGTGATAGACTAAATTCATATTGACTTGAGGTATTTTGTTGAATGCGGGGCAGACCAAGTTTTATTGAACGGGAAGAGACGGTAGCTCTATCGTGGTTTTCGGGTTTACAAAAAAGAATGGAAGCATTCAGTCCCTTTTATCCATTTCATCAATACGGAAAGAAGACGAATATCGCTAGATGTTAAGATATGGAAAGAAGAGAACCAGAAATGTCTTCATTCTCCTTACCAAATGATTTGAGATCGGAGGTCGCTTGGGACTAGTCTTGGTCTTTTTGGGAAATCGCATTTCTAACGAACCCATTCGTGTGATTAGGTTGTCCACCTTGCCATTAAGTTGACTAAGTGTGCGCAAAATTTCACGAATTGTCAACTCCTGCAACGAGCACGGTGTTAGACCATTTCCCGTGTTGAACAACGTGGATCCGCTAGTGGAGAATGGAACAGAAGTTTTACAGAGCGTGTCCGGATTTCCCGGCGTATGGGCTGACGTTCGAGTATCGCGCACGTTAATCTTTTGTAATGTGCTAAACGAGCACGGACGCGGGTTGCTGTTCAGTGGATGATATTGATTCTTGTGCCTGACATAGGCTGAATGGTTTGAGGCACTACGACTTCGGGGCATGAATCGCTGTGCTGTTGGTTGAGAGTGGACCACAGAAGGGGATGTGGTGGAAAACTGTGTTGGGAAAAACCGAGCAGGAAAGTGACAAAAATGAATTTTATGCGACAGATTTCGAACATTGATCCAAAAGGTTAATCAATTCGGCGTGTCAGTAGACAAAACCATTGGATTTGAGAACATTCGATCAACAGACGAAGAATAACTGCATATTTATATCTGCATGGAAAGCAATATACTGGCGACACACAACAGAACTTACGGGGACCGGACTGGCACGTGGATGCGGTATGGGCGGATGTGATCGAGCTGCGGTCTGATTGTGCGATTCTTCACCCCAAAAGGCTATGGGATAGGAATCCACGTGCATAAAAGTTGGAGGACGATTAACCGTTTTCTCCTCCCATACCTGATCGTAGTACTCAGCTGTATTTGGACGAGATTCTCTTCTCGGTTCATCCCCGGTACTTGGAGAAACAACATCCCGGAGCGGTTTCGTGTTCATATTTGGTGTGATTTCGTCGGACGAAGTGCTCTGCTGTTTGGGAAATACAGAAGCCCGAGACACCGGAACATGGCTATCAAACATATGCTTCATCCCGTTTTGAACTATACACCCCGTGGCTGATTTCGGTCGTCCGGGCAACGGGTCCCATTGGGCCACACGAGGTATGTTTGCACTCCGAGAACCTTTAAGAANGAGTGGCCACGCGAGTGGCCACAGAAGACGCCATCTCCAATTTACGCTCGACAAACCCACCCGTGAAAAACTGGTTCAGAGTGATAGCTGGTCGCATGTTGAACAAGTCACGCATAATCCGATAAACAACTTCCATGAACCGGAAATCCGTTGTACCTGGATTAGAAGAATAAAATGATAACCGAAAAATACGGATAGATGTGCGGTTCTTTTCTTTATGTACCAATGATAAAGTGAACAAGCATGGTCTTTCTGTGGGACAGAAAAAGTAATTGAATGCAAAAATAGAAACAAACAAAACACTCCTTCGTGATGCATAACCGTGGATAGACTGTGATGGCATGTGTATGCAAATAGCCTAATCAAACAAGAGAAGAATGCTGGAAAAGTTTTAGTTAGTAAATCCCCGTGGTGGTGATGTTTACATAAAAAAGAGAAAAACCAGTATTT